TCATAGTCCCTTCCCCCTCCTCATCTTCTGCATTGATCACCACGGTGCCCAGCTGTGATGTCAATGTGTCATCATGCTCAATCATAGTATTGGCTCCGTTGCTCATGGTGCTGGCTACTCGGACAGTGCCCATCTCATCACCTACTGCTTGAACCATTGTGCCAGAATCCATTTCATCTTCTTCTGAGTTTTCTTCATCATCCTGGTCCACTTCTCGCTGCTGGGCTTCCTGGCATTTCAGTTTTACATCCATGGCTTCGTTAATTAAGTCACACAGTATTGACACTCCTTTGGCACTCTTGACAAATGGGTGCTGTAGGAGCTGAGTGGCTGTGGCTCTCTGCTCAGGGCTCTTTAGAAGACACTGCTTCACAAAATCCATGAAGTTATCTGACCACAGCTCTGGCTTTCGTAAAGTGGGAGGAGGGTTTGTTGGAATCATGAAGATTGCCCTTATTGGATGGATGTCAGCAGATGGAGGCTTTCCTTCAGCCATTTCTATGGCAGTTATTCCCAGAGACCAGATGTCTGCCACACAGTTGTATCCAATTTCCTGAATCACTTCTGGAGCCATCCAAAATGGTGTTCCTATCACTGTATTCCTCTTGGCCATGGTATCCGTAAGTTGACCTGCTACTCCAAAATCTGCAAGCTTTGCATGTCCTTCTGTATTTAGCAAAATGTTTCCTGCCTTGATATCTCTGTGTATTTTTCTCATGAAATGAAGGTATTCCAGTCCTTTGAGAGTTGATTGTAATATTGTAGCTATCTCATCTTCTGTTAACATTTTATTTTGTAATCGAATGATATCAGATACAGAACCGGCCCCACAGTACTCTATAACAATCCACAAGTCTGTGTTCTTAAAATAACTGCCGTAATACTTGACTACATGAGGGCTGTCACACTGCTGCATTATTGAAATTTCTTTGATTATTTCCTGCAGATCTGATTCCACGGGAACTTGTTTAATAGCAACAATCTGGCTAGTCTCCTTATGAATAGCTTTGTATACACTGCCATAGGACCCTTCTCCAAGTTTCTCTAAGACATCAAACACTTCTTCTGGTTGTTTGGTTAAACTATCTTCATCCAACTTTTTCCGCTGTCGGCGAGGCGGGTTCCTCAGCTGCACTGTCTCTATGGCGCTGCCAAACCCGCTCACTGCTCCGTCCTCCCCCAGACCTCTCTCTGAAGTAAAATATTTTAATGTCTTCTCTTTCTCTCTCAAGTTTTTTTATGGTTTCATGCAAATTTTAGTGTTTTTTTCTATTTTTATGAAGAATGTTCTTTGTATTGTGATAGGAATTCCATTAAATCTGTAGATCACTTTAGATCATATGAATGCTTCAACAACATTTTTTCCAATTCATAAGCATAGATATCTTTCCATTTTTTTGTGTGTCCACTTCAATTTCTTTCATCAGTGTTTTGTAGTTTTCATTGTAGACCCTCATTTCTTTGGTTAAGCTTATTTTTAAGTATTTTGTTTATTTTTATAGCTATTATATATAATAAATATAATATATATATATTGTTTATTATATATAGCTATTGAAAATAGGATTGTTTTGCTTTCTTGACTTTTCTCTTTTTTTTGGTAATTCAGTATTAATCTGTAAAAGTGCTAGTGATTTTTTCATATTGATTGTTTATCCTCAAACTTGCTGAATTAATTTATTAATTCTAAAAGGTTTTTGGTGGAGTCTTTGTGGTTTTAAAATCTCTATATATGATAAACAGTGATAATTTGACATCCCCTTTTGCAGTTTGGATGGCATTTAATTGTCTTACCTTATTGCTGTGGTTAGGATTGCTGGTAGTAGGTTGACTAAAAGTGGTGAAAGTGGGTAGGCTTTCTTGTCTTGTTTTGGATCTTAGAAAGCTTTCAGCTTTGCCCTATTCAATGTATATAAGCTCTGGGCTTATTATACTGGTATTTGTTCTTTGCAATATTAAGGTATGTACTTTATAGCTAATTTGTTCAAGTTTTTGTCATGTAAGGTTATTATTGAGTTTCATCAATTCATCTGTCTACATCTATTGAACTGATCAGAAAGATTTTTGTCCTTCATTCTGTTGATGTATCATATTTATTAATTTGCATATGCTGAACCATTCTTGCATCCCTAGGGTGAATCCCACTTGGTCATGGTGAATGATATTTTCAATATTTTGTTGGACTTAGTTTGCTAGCATTTTTTTGAGAATTTTTGCATGCGTGTTCATTAAAGATTTTAGTCTGTAGCTTTCTCTTGTGTGACTTTATCGGGTTTTGTTATCAGGGTACTATTGTCATAAAAAGGATTTTGTCAGTGTTCTTTATTCCAGAATGTTTTGAAGAACTTGAAAATAATTGCTATTCTTTAAATGTTTGGTAGAATTCAGTAGAGAAGTAATCTGATTGTGAGTTTTATGACTGATTCAGTTTTACTAGACAACATCATTTTTTTCAGATTTTTTACTTTTTGTGATTCAGTTTTGGCAAGGTATATGTGTCCAGAAAATGTTCATTTCTTCTTCATTATCAAATTTGTTGGCATACTGTTGTCAAAAGTAGACTCTACTGATCATTTTCATGTCTGTGGTGTGGCTTGTTAACTTTTTTTTCATCTCTGACTTTATTCGAGTCTTTTTTCTATTTTCTTTGTCTATCTGAAAGTTTGTTTTTGTTTGTTTTAAAAAAATCAGATCTTTATTTTGTTGAGTTTGGTATTGTTGTTTTAATCTTTTTCATTTATTGTTGTTCTGCTCTTCATTATTTCTTTTCTTCTATTAATTTTTGCTTTTTTTCTTCATGTTTTTTAGTTATTTGAGGTACAAAAATAGGGTTTTTTTGAGATCTGTCTGCTTTTTTTGATACAGGACAAAGATACAGGCTAATATTCCCAATGAACTTAAATGCACAAATTCTCAACAAATATTAGCAAACCAAATTCAACAACACATTAAGAAGGTTGTTCATCATGATCATGTGAGATTCACTGCAGAAATGCAAGAATGGTTCAACATATGCAAATGAATAAACTTTCCTCTTAATACAGCTTTTGTTATATCAGCTGGGTTTTGGTATGTTGTTTCCACTGTCATTTGGAAATGATAGTTTCAAAATTTTAGATTTCCTTCTTAATTTTCTTTTCATTGGTTGTTCAGGAGTACGTTGTTTAATTTCCATGTTTTAGTATAGTTTCCAAAGTTTCTCCTATTATTGATTTTTAGTTTTATTGCATTGTGTGAAAGAAAGATAATTGGTATGATTTCAAATTTAAAATTGTGTTGACTTTTTGTTGGCCTACTGTGTTGTCTATCCTAAAAAATATTCCTTGTTCTGCTAAGAGGAATGTGTATTCTGCAGCTGTTGAACAGAATGTACTATAGATAGATGTCTCTTAGGTCCACTTGATCTTTAATGCAGTTTAACTCTGCTATTTGTTGATATTCTGTCTGGATGAACTGTCTGCTCCTAAAAATGAGGTGTCAAGTACCTGCTACTATTGTCTTGGAGTCTGTCTCTCCCTTTAGGTCTATTAATATTTGCTTCATATATTTGGGTGCTCTGACACTGGATGCACATATATTTAGAATTGTTATTTCCTCTTGGTAAACTGATTCCTTCCTTCATCATTATATAATCACTTTCCTTCTCACTATTTACTGGTTTTGACTTAAAGTCTACTTTTTGTGGTACAGATATAGCTATTCCTGCTCTGTTTTGGCTTCCATTGGCATAGAATAACTTTTCCCATCCTTTTATTTTCAAACTACACGTCATTAGAACTGAAGCAAATTTCCTATAAGCAGTGTTTAGTTATGTCTGTATTTTAATCCATTCAATCACTCATTTTTATTTAACTGGAGAATTTAATCTGTTTGCTTTTAGGGTAAATGTTCTTAAGTTAGATTTTACTTCTGCCATTTTGTTTTGGTATCATGGGTTTCTGCCTGGCACTGGGTCTTACTTTGGAGGACCCAGTAATGACTTGTGCCTGTCTCCCAGTTCTTTCCCCTTTGGACAATAACTGTCCATGTTGTGCTGCCTGAGGTTGTAGAGAGATGGGGTTGGCAGTGCTGTGGCCACCATGGCTGCCTGAATGCTAGAGCACACTAGGAGACCACAGCCAAGTGAGACTTGTGCAGTATAGGGGCAATTCCAATACCCACATTACTGTGACTTGCCTGCTGTTGTCTCTTCATGGCCCATAACCACTGTAGATAATGAAAGTGATATGGGCTGAAATACAAGTCTGTCTTACTGGGGTAGGCTTAGATCCATGGTCTTTGCCTGAGGCCAGTGGCCTGGAGGTAGGGACTGTAGTACTCTGCCAAGTACTAGGTTTCACTGCGGTGGGATTGGTTTTGGGATTCAGGTCAAAGACCTGCATTTAGTTCCTTATCCCTCCCTCAGGTGGGAGGCATTGCTCCATACTGTGGTGCTTATGGTTTCGTTAGCTCTTTAAAATACTCTCATGAATGAATAGTTCTAATTGATATTGCTGCTGGGATTCCATCTCTGTAGGTTTTACTCCACTGTTTTGTTGCATTCCTCCATTTTAAAAAATACTCTTGTAATTTACTATTGAAAAAATATTCATAGCAGAAACAATCTTTGATGTTAAACCATAGTTCAATAATACTACCATTCTGTTCTCAGTTACATACACACACACACACACACACACACACACACACACGGTTCCAGGTTTGTCTGAGCCAGCTTGTTGTGGCTCATGAAAACTTACTGTCATATATCTTCAGGAATCAAAAGCTTCTTAATGTCAGACAAGTGATTTGGAATTTCTTATGGTGGCGGCATTTACAAAATTGGAAAATTCTGCAAATCAGTGCTTTTTCTTTATTTCTTGGAGAGCCAGTTATTAAACTCTTATTAGTTTGCCTGTGTCCCTAAACATCTATTTTAATGAAAAGGAAGTTATTAGCATTGTATTTGATCTTTGCATGAAAGAAACATAAAATAATTGTTTTTTCCTCTGCATTTTCAGGGATACGGAAAGACCGAAGAGGTGGGAGAATGTTGAAATACAAGAGACAGAGAGATGATGAGGAGAGGAGGAATGAGCCCTCTGGAGACATGAGAGCTTCTAACCTTTGGCCAAGCCCTCTTGTAATTAAGCACACTAAGAAGAACAGCCCAGCCTTGTCCTTGACAGCCGAACAGATGGTCAGTGCCTTGTTGGAGGCTGAGCCCCCCTTAATCTATTCTGAGTATGATTCTACCAAACCTCTCAGTGAAGCATCAATGATGGGCTTATTGACCAGCCTGGCAGACAGGGAGCTGGTTCACATGATCAACTGGGCAAAGAGAGTGCCAGGTAAGAATGCTAAGTTCAACTTCTATTTTAAGAGTCAATAACTTTGAAGAACTTGTGATGTCATGGGAGAAGCAGAGTGGCTGGGGTGGGGGACAGTACATTGTTATTTAATTAATTTCAAGATTATATCAAGATTTGTTAATTTTCAGTATAAATATATTATAATTTTCCTGGAATTTCAGAAATAACATTTTAAAATCAAAATCTAGAATGCCAAAATCTTTAACTTGACGTAACTTATTTTAACCCATTTTATATTTGACACAACCCATTTTATTTGCCAAAAAGATTTGGAGTAGACACTCACTGACACATATATTATATATTGTATGTAAATAATCTATAAAAGTTTTTCATATTGAGGACTATTGTTTAAAGTATCTCAATTGTTAATAAACAATTTTTCCTTAAAAGAGCTTTTCTTTAAAAATCTTTATGAAGAAAAGAGCTAATAATAGCTTTACTTACTGAATACCAATTATTTCTCCAACCTAGTTTAAACATAGTATTTGAAGAGAAAAGGAAATACAATAGAAATAAATGAAAGCATCAGTCCTGAGGGAACTTAAGGAAAGATCATGGTTGAAATGATACTTTGGTTTCTCAGAACTAGTCTGGATGAACTGTCTACTCCTAAAAATGAGGTGTCAAGTACCTGCTACTATTGCCTTGGAGTCTGTCTCTCCCTTTAGGTCTATTAATATTTGCTTCATATATTTGAGTGCTCCTGTAAAATTGGACTGCTACTCTTTTTCAGAAGGAAAAAACTCTAGTTCTTATGGAAACAAGATTCCTCCATGTCAAAATATCCATTATGCATAACCAAGAGCTTGTACCAAGGCAGAGGAAGTTAAATCTCTTTTGTGGGCTTATTTCTCAAATGAGGAGCAGATTATGTAAAAAGAGAATTTTTTTCATTTGGTTTCTTTCAGGAGATGAAATTATTACTGATGAAGCATAGATTGTTTTCTTATAACACTGAAAAATAAAGAGTTTTATAGTTGCATTTCCAGGGTCACTGATATGTTATAGGCTGGGCAAACATAGGTCTAGCCTCAGGGAATCTCACAGGTATATGGATATATCAGCATATAAATATGTGGTCAATTGAATAAGGGGCTAGCAATACTGTGATCCAGTCATTTTAGAAGGTGTCCAGTCAGGCGATTGGGTTACATGGAAACATGGAGATTAATGAGAAGATTTTGGTTTTTCAGGGTCAGTCCAACTGGCAAACAAAAACTCCTGGCCATCTTTGGCATTAAGAATTTTACTGAGTACCTACATATTTCTTATGTAAATAGATCCATTATGCATTAACTGAGATCTGGATATTATGGGATAATAGGTTTTTCCTTTATCTTTATATTTGTTCCTACCTTGTTTTTATACTTTGAGAGAAGAAAAAATTAATGTACAAAAACTAATGGTCAAATTTCTGACATCCAACTCTTGGTTATGGTTAAGTTTTATTATTCTATAACATTTACTTTTCTTTATGAAATTTTGGCAATATTAATTTCAGAGCATTGCTGAACTCAAGTATAAAATTCTCATACTTAGCAGTAGATTACCCTCATGGCATTTTTATATTTATAAAAATTTAAAGAGAATTTGAAACAACTGGAATTAAGTTCAAATACATTACCTGTCAATGGAGAATTTATGGCAATAATCTTTTAAATTTAGGAATAAAATGGAGACAGAAATCAAGGGAAGGAAAAATATTATGTCCATGTTTAACCACATAAAACCCAGAATTAGACAAATTTATAGTAATGAGCTATATAGGAAAACTACTCTGTAACTTTGTTAATTCAAAAGACTTGAGTGACTCTGAAATCCTTGGACCAAACTATATTTCATCAGTTGATCATTAAAAGAAGAATTATGAAAGTAAAAATGAAATTATGCGTAGTCATGTACCTCATGACAATGTTTTTGTTAGCAACATTCTGTAAGATTGTGTCGCCTTGTGATGAAGTAGCTATCTTAATTCATGCATGCTGTGGTGTTCACAAAATGACAAAATCACCTAAGGACACATTTCTCAGAACATATTCCTGTTGTTAAGTGACTCATGGATCTGTGAGTGTGAGTGTGTGTGCATACCACCATTGAAATATAGCTGTTGCAAGTCAAAAGCCTACTTGTCAGATCAAGGAGAATGAAATATTCATGGATTTTAAAAGGATGAAAAGTGAGGAACGAGGAAAATCTTCTGGAAGAACTCAAGCTTTTCATTACCTTTTAAAAAACTTTTATATATCCATGTACCATCTGTCATTTTAAAAATGCTGTCACTGAAAAATACATATAGATGTTATATTATGTGCTAATAATTTGAAAATAACAATAGTAGTAATTTTTAAAAGTAGAAATAGAAAAATTTCAGTAAGAGTAGGGAATAAAAAAGATTTCTACAGGTACCTAGAACCTGGAATAGGCTCTATATAAGCTCTATGATACAAAAACCTGTGTGGAACATTTAGCTTGTGCTCAGAATGGCTTTTAATATAACAGAAACTGTGAATGGTTTTCATTTTAAATATAATCAATATTTGGGGCAATTTCATAGTTCTAGAAATTTTTTTCCTAAGAGAATATTGTCAGAATTTTCAAGTGTTGCTGATCATAAGTTGAAGTTACTTTTGTGTTAACATCTAGGTGTATTTTGTGACTTGATATCTCTCTTTCCTACATGTGAAGATGTGAAGAGCTGTAGAATAGAATACATCATAAAGTGTTATAGTCAAGTTCCAATCTATAAAGAACTTACGTTAGATCTGGTTAACGATGACTTCAAGAAATTATTTTTTCCTTTCTAATTTAAAAACAATAGTACCAACAAGGATGATAAAAATTACCTATTGAGCTCTGCAAAAGATGGTTTTTAAAAATAACACATGCCATAATATCTGCACATGTCTAGCTATAAATGTAGCTTTATCGTATGCTTTGAGTTTACTAATCATTGATAGACACTTTATAGTCTATCCATGAACAAAGATTTACTTTTAAAGGAACTATATTATTAATTCTTCATTTACTATTATTCTACACATAAAGAAACTAGTCCACAAATGTAACATTGTTTAGCTATAGGTCAAAAAGGAAAATATAACTGCAGAGTTGTTATATTTTTAAAGTCAGCATCACAGTTACATTGAGTGGCTGATTCTTAGGTTTAGTGTTCGTGAAATACGTCTGATTTTTTTCACCAGAGAGATATCACCAACTGTCACTTGAATTTGGCATAGCTCTTGAAGGGTGTGCTGGAAGCATGGCCCAGGCCAAAGCATAAAGGACAAATGGCTGTGAAGCTTAGGCCCACAGGAAATATGTTATCTTACCCACTTCCTCATTCTTTTAGTGGCAATTTAATGACGGTTTTCCCCTCCCTTTCTTCCCAGTCCTTCTCTCCTCAAGGCTGGAGGAGTCCTGACTCTTCACCATTTTACTTTGCATTCCCTCCTGGCTTCATTTTGGCTTAGGGGTAGAAGATTCACTTTTTCTTGATGTGCCTCCTGCCAGCCCCAAGCTTAGGGTTTCAGCAGTTTTGGTGTTGGTCCTCAAGGATGCCTATTTTTCTGAGCACCCTTAGGGCTTGAGGCTGCTTCTGCTCCTGGATAGCCCAGATATCTACTGCTTAGCTTCCGTGACTCTGATAGTCATCCACATCATTTGAATTACCAATAAATCAAGCTCAGGCAAGACTTGAATAAAGAACAAAGGAAAAAGGACTTTTGAAACTTCTAGTGTTAAGAAATCTAAGCCCTGCCAAAATTCAGTTTTCCCATCAATTAGAACTGTTCTTTAAGGCTATGCTGTTCCTCTTTTTACCTCTGTTCAGAACTCACCTGCTATTCTACCATGCCTCTGGCAGCTGCCTCAGTGAGACTCCATTTCCAACCTTTCTTTTGTAAAGGGCAGAGAAGTGTGCAAAGGAGTGTGCACACTCAAAATCTGGGGACTTTATTAGGCTCTGTTTTCTGTCAGTAGGTCAGTTTTTCTTAGTGTCACTGAAATCATAAGTGAATAAGGACAAGAGGGCAAGGGGAGGGCACAATACCTCCATCTGGAACTTGGAAGCATCTTCAAGGAACATATTCTATTCTGGGAGATTTCAGAGACTTGGCAGGGCTACCTGGTACTCTGCTTCCCAACTATAATCAGACCAGTGGACTCTGCTCTGCAGCTGTCCTGGTTTATCCTCAAAAGCAATGCTTTGAACATAGCACAGCGATGAGGAACATGACATAGAAGTATGGGTGACAATCTAGAGGTATGACAGATATGTGTGCTTAAAGCAAGATTTGGTGTTTAGATTTTGCGACCATTGTACAAATAGAGCCTGAGCACCAGGACAGATTCATTCCAGCATGAATGGGGGCCACCTTCTGGACTGTAGGTCCCAGCTTCCTCTGGAGCACTCATCCCTGCCTAGTCTTGTACTGCTATTGCAGAAGCCCTGGGGGAAGCTCAAGGAAAGCAGCTACTTGCTTGATTTTTCTTGTATGTAAAACTTGGAAGCCCTATTCTTTTCCTGTCTTAAGATTATTTGACAGATGTGTTCTATTCATCCAGGCCTCTTTGCAGCAGGTCCTCAAGGACCTGTTTTAGTGTGTCTAGGTTCTAGAATCTGCATGTTTATTTCAAGCACTGTATGTGTGGGTGCTGGGTGTTCCCAGGCCACCCTATGGGGAGCGTTGGCTTTGGCTTTCCCATTGCCAGGGGACACTGGCAGGGAGACTATCAGCTTTCATTAACTCCTCATGTGCTAGCCATGAGGTGTTATGGGTTGAGCTGTGTTTTCTTGAAAAGTATCTTGAAATCTTCACCCCTAGGGTCTCAGAATGTGACCTTATTTGGAAATAAAGTCTCTATAGAGATAATCAATAATCAAATGTGTTCATTTGTCTGGGCCCTGGCTTGCTACGACTGGGGTCCTCATTAAAGAGGAAATTTGGACACAGAGCTGGAAAAGGGAATGTGATATG